GATTATAATAATGATTAATCATCTTTTTAGTATAAGATGATTCAATCATTTCAAAGTATAGGTGATTATTTTTAATCAATAGAATTGAATTTACATATCTTATTATATTCTTAAAAATTATTTCAATAATTTAAAATGTATAAATTTTAATAAAGAATAATTTTGACCAATTAATAAATTATTTTATTTTAATTATTGCACACATCAAACATAAGATAAGATGATATTTTTAATTTAATTCTAATCATAATATTATTTTATTATATTCTATCATAATCTTTTATATCAAGCATATTTTAAAAATATATAACATATAAATAAGATATGACATAGCACAATAGATTTATTTTATGAGTTACACGATTAACTTGTTTAGTAATGCGAATAACTTGTTTAGATATAACACGTTAATCTATTTATGATAACAACCCATTTAATGTATTTTAAATATTAAGAATTCAATAAATGAATTTGAATGAGCTAGATATGTTTAATAATATGGATTAAATTGTTAATACCTTTAATTAAATGTGTATAAACAAACATGTAAAATAAGTTAAGCTAGTCAAATTACATAAAACACAAATAGTATCATAAGCAGGTTGACAACTATTACGACACAAACACAATCATAAAATAACCCAATTCATGAACACTTTTATTCTAATGTCCACATGACAAATTTAGATTTAAGGTTTGTGATTTTTATGTTAATAGATAATAATTGTGTTATGTTAGAGGTAAGCTATAACATGTACCAAATATGACATTGATAACATGCATTTAAATCATTTAATTAAAGTTAGTATTAAAATATTAAATCATTTTTATTTTACTATTTTAATCTTTTTTTTAATCTTTTCCATTCCAAAATTGAAACAGTCAAGGGGTTAAAATGACCATGACTATGACACATGCTAAGTTAGATCCAAGGGTAAATTCATTTTAAACCCCTTTAAAACCTTTCAAAGTGTATTTTCAAACAAATTTAGTATCAAAATTTGTCCACATCATTTTTTCTTTATAATTAACTTTCATCAATTTTCCTACTCAAATTAAGATCATTAAAATTTCATTTATTGACTAATTTTAATATATATTAATCATCTTAAAACCTTTTTCAATTTATAAGTGTCCAACCGTACAAATTTAAAAAATTAACATATATACATAATTACGCGTGACAATATATACATAATTACATGTGATAATAATGTAAACGTATTTGTAAAGTTTAAAGTTTTTTCAATTATTATAAACTGTAAATGTAAATAAAAATAATATAATTTATATAATAAAATAACAATTGATATAAAGTTTGTAGTTTGAACTCAAAACAACGTCTTGGTAGAACTTGGAGGCTTGAGGTTTAAAGGGCGGTCCATGAACAGTTGTGGACTCTAGTACTTTGCTTGTCAAATTGATCACATCTAGATCTGCAATCATAAGTTTCTTAGAAATGTTGATTCACGCATGATTTATGGGAAAAAAAAACTTCTTTCTTTTTTCCTGTTGGCGATGAGTGTTGCACCTCAAAGTGCCTCTTCCATTATTAAGTATCATTAAAATAATTACTAAGATTTACGCTATATGTTATAGAATATTTTTGTTATTTATTTATTTTTTAACTTAAGTGAATTGGGTTAAATTCGGTTGATATTTAAAAATTTTAAATTTAATTTGGAGCGAATCCAATTCAATAAGTTCATTTAGATTTATTAAAATATTAATATTTTTATTATTTTAAATATATATTTTAAATTAAGATTAAATTTAAAACATTATTTTATAATTTATTAGATTGGATGGAGATTAAGCCTTAAAATCCTACCAAGGTATGAATCATAAACAAGTCTATTTAATTTTTTATTTAAAAAAAGTATCGACCACACATAGCTTTGCCTTTCTTATCTGATTGATGTAGCCTCAACTCCGGCCAAACCAATCCGTTGTTCCCTTCTTTTCCGAATGGGGAACAAAGTAAGAGAAATCTTATGCCTAAAACTAAACTTAATAATTTTAAATATATGATATGATAATATGATATAAAAATAATATAAATAAAAAATATAAAAATAAATTATTTAAAATTTTAAAATTTTTTAAATAAATATAATAAAATAAAAAAAATTATAATTTATAATTTTTACATTGATATAAATGATAATATATAATTTTTATATAAAATATAATATAAATATAATAATTTATATGATACGATAACATAAATTATCTGATCTATTTAAACTTCAATACAATCATAATTCATGAATCAACAATTTTTTTTAAAATGCGGTGGAAGCACAATGATTTTACCTTTTTATTATTATTAGCGTAAACTTGGTAGTTTTAGTCATAAAAAGAGGCTTCAACTTTATTTGATAATATTTGAATGAAACGCAAATACAAAATCAAGTAGTAGGTTGAGTTCAAGCAACTGATTCACAAATTTGTTAATAACTTATATTATTATTATTATTATTAAAAAAATCATCTGAAACTAAATTTTGATGCTCATTATTTTTTTTTGATAAATTATAAATCTTTTTTATAAAAATGTTCAGGACAAAAGAAATAAAAATATAATAAAGATATTTTTATGAAATTATTTTTAATTTATGCTTTTTATATTTTTTCTATCTATTTATCAATTGCTTTGTCCCATTTTACTCGTTCTATCCTATTTTTTTCACCTTTTTTTTTTTTTACATTTTCAAAATTATGTCATTTTTATTTTTTTATATTTTTTTTACTATTTAACATTCAAAGTCATGAAACTTTAATTTTAATGTCACATGTATTAAAATTAATTTTTTAAAAACTTTTATGAAAATTAATACGGTTTAAATAATATGAAACGAGAGGAAATTTTTTTAATAAAAACAAACCAAAATAAAAATGAACTCATAAGCCCAAAACAAAACCCAAAGCCACACCTAAAATTAAGACCTACCAAAGATTTTAACCCATGACCCAAAACAAAGCCCATACCCATCCAATTGAGGATAGGTCTCATCCCCACCTAAAACATAGCTGACGTACGCAAAATGTTGACTGTTGACTAAGATAAATTCGCGAAGTGTCGTCAACGTGGCTCTTTTAATCAGTTTGGCCATTTATGTAACTATGATCTTGATTGCGACTTACTGTGGGACCATGCGTCATCATGTGCTTAATCTAACTGTTAACCATCAAGCAGTTTTTTTTTTTTAATAAAATATTTCATTTTTTTAATTTATTGATAAATATAATTTTTATTTAAATAATATTAAAAATTGTAAAAATAAAATAAAAAATATATATCAATACTAAATTAAAAATTTATTTATATTTTTTCAAAAATTACAAAATTATAATTTTTATATTATATATATTTAATATAAAATAAATACTTAAATTAACTAAAAAATCAAATTACATCTCAATATATAAATAAATAAATAAATAAATATTTTCCTTATTCTCTTATTACTGCATCTTTTACAATAAAAATTTACATATTTGACATGTAGCCTGACTCGGACATGTACACTACCTAGTAGGTGTAAGAAAAAAAGTAAAAAAATAAAAAAAATTAATTTAAGCTTATAATATTTGATTCAATTTGAATTAATTTTTTTTATTTAATTTAGATTAAATTTAAATATTAAATATATATGTTAAATTTGGATCAAATTTTGAATTGAGAGTTAAAAAATTAAAAAAATCAAACTAAATTAAATTATATATATTTTTAGTGTTATATATATTTTAATTTTTTATAAAATAAAAATAATAATTTTATATTAAAATTTATTTTAATATATTAAAAATTTTATTTTAAAATAATATATAAAAAATAAAAAATAAAAATCAATAAACTAAATCAAATCGAATTGATAAAATTCAATTCGATTTGAATTGAATGAAAGTTTAATTTAAATTTAATTCAAAATTTAAAATTTTATAATATTATACAATATTTAAAAAAATTAAATTAAATCACGTTCTAATTAAATCGTTATTAAAAGTGATAGCAGTTTGAATTGTATCGGACTCTATTCGATTTTTTTTTAAATATTACATAATATTATAAAATTTAAAATTCGATCTAAATTCAAATCAAATTTTTATTTAATTCGAATTGAATCGAACCAAATTTTATTGGTTCAGTTTGGTTAGATTTATTAATTTTTAATTTTTTAATTTGTATATATTATATTAATATAAAATTTTAATATATTTAATATATTTTAATATAAAATTATTATTTTTATTTTAAAAAATTTAAAAATATATAAAAATTTAAAATATATATAATTAATTCAATTCGATTTTTTTTAATTTTTTATCTTTTGATCTAAAATTCAATTTAAATTTAATATATATTTTTAATATTTAAATTTAATCTAAATCAAATAAAAATAAAATAAATTCAATCTAAATCAAATATTATAATTTTAATCCAATTTTTAAAATTTTATTTTATTTCTCACCCTTATCACTTCTACCAACTGGATTTTTTTTCTTCTGAAAATCTTTTGGAGACGGAGCGTTTCAAAAAGCAGCAAAGTTAACTGATATGAAGACAAAATTTTAAATGCCAGAATCCGGCCACAGATCTTTCGTAGGCCCCAGGTCAGACCAAACGCCTGCAGTCGGCGCGTGGAACCGTCAAAAACAAAAAAAAAACACAAGTCATGCTACCAACCAACGAACAACATCAACAAAAATGATAAAACTCATTTGTCGTGTCAAGAAATAAATACAGCCTTAAAATACTACTTTCTTTCTATAATTTTTATTTATACGTAAAAAAGACTAACGAAATAAAATAAATAATTAAATTCAAAAATTAAAAAATAAAAATTTGAAATATATTTTTTAATTTTATAGAAAAGAAAATATTAATCAGCATTCAGCAAGTTAGAGTGATATTTATAAAAAGAAGTTTTGTAATTAATGTATGTAAGTAAAAATAATGATTTTAATTTTAATTATTACTAATACATTACATTAAATATATAAAACTGAAGATGAAAAATGAAAGCCCAACCCCACCATTGCCTTTGTCTGCTACTACCTGAGGAAATTTCCTTATTTTTACTGATCTCTTTTGTCTCTTTGTCATTATTTTTGGTTCTTGTTATTGATGAACACAGAAGAACAAAAGAAAGAACTCATCTTTAGGGAAGATTAAGCAAAAAAAAGAAAAAAGATTTTCTTTACTTTTTTCTGTACTTAAGAAATGTTGGGTTCTTCTTCTTCAAAGGAAGGAGGGAATAACAACTATGATTATTCATTTAAGATACTGTTGATTGGTGATTCTGGTGTCGGCAAAAGTAGTTTACTTGTTAGTTTCATCTCCAACTTTGTTCATGATCTTTCTCCTACCATTGGTACTTCTCTCTCTTTTTAACTCTTTTTTGCTATCTTTTTGTTCTTGCATGTTGGTTTTAGTTTAGTTTCACACCCAGAATTTAGTTTGAGTTTTTTTTTTTTCATTTTATTTTGTGTTTTCCTTTCCTTTTGCAGCTTTAAGCTATCTAACAGTTTCATTAGTTAGCCTTTAAAAAAATGGAATGAATGAATGAAAGTGGTTGTTTTTATGTATTGGGTTGGCAATAGATTGGAGTGAAGGGAGTTCTTTTTTCTAATTGTTTTAGGGAGTTTCGTGTAAGGGGAAATATTATATGCATCATTAGAACTGTTAAACTTATATGTTAGAGAAGAAAAAGAATGAAAGCAGGGGTGGGAGTTGTGATGGTACACCTAAAAAGAATAAAATTTTGTTTAGACTTATAATTTTCAGGAAATAGGCTCAATGGTTTAGGTTGCTCTAGTTTAATTAGCAATGATGAAACAGTGAACAGATGAGGCAACTGCAGGTGAGGATATAGCTGTAAAGGCTAGGCATGCAAATTAATTCAATTGTCCTTGACACAATCTTGCTGCACTATTGTTTGGAGCCTCTTCGTGGTCATTCTAGGATCCACCTGTTATTGCAATAATGTACACTTGTAATAACAGAAAAAAGGCTTGAAAGGAATTCATGGCGTGGTAAGACGAAACAAGATGAGAAAAGCTGTGACTTTTCTCTGTAATTCTTTGACATCTTCATGTCCTATGCTTTAGCAATATATCAGTCTACATGTTCAACTTTTATTCCTGATGCTTATTTAGCTCTATTTGTTCATTTGTCGTTTGAATATTTCTAGGGGTAGATTTCAAAATCAAGATGGTCACAATAGGTGGGAAAAGATTGAAACTTACAATTTGGGACACAGGTAATTGATGGGTATTATACCAGCACTTTGCAACTCGTTTTTACTCAAGACTTACAGTCTGGTAATTGCTAGTGAAAGGGTTTGAGATTTTCCAGTAATTGTGCAATGATAATCAAAGCTAAACTGCTGATGCTTTATACTTCTGAATGTAGTAGGATAGAAACTGTGCCTTAGAGAGCTGTAACAAGTAATGACTGCATCTGAGGTATGATGTGCAAGTGTTGGATATGCTGATGTGTCATAGGGATCCAAAGAAGCTTATCTATTAATTTGCAAGAAAAATGACTACAATTTCACAAAACAGTTCAACAGTTGATAGGGTTAAAGCACTGATGATCAGAAACAAAAAAAATTTCAAATAGTGCAGTAACTGCTGGAGAAACTCTGAGATATTGAAGTAAGGATGCAATAATGGTTAAGCCTATAATTCTGATGCCATTACTGCTGAGGAGTATGGGACTGATCTTGTGACCAGGGGAGTGAAGATAGCATTGATGAGTGCATTTGTGAGGGAATGGTATGCTCTGTGTTGGATATGATGCTAGGTTGACAGAACACAAGGAAGCAGGTATTGAGGTAACTGAAAAAGTAAATATTGGCCAAAAAGTTACTGGAAAGCATGCCTGTATAAGATAGAGCAGAAAAACTGGATTTATATAAGTGAAACATATAAGCTGGAAGTCTCTGTAGCATATTATACAACTGGGTACCTTCTAATGAGTTCTCTTCTTTATCTCATTGGAGCTCTCTATGCTAATAGTTATGAATGGAGATCCTGGTTGGAGGATGTCATTGAACGAATATGGCAAGAATTATTTCTGAATGGGTTGTAGATGGATTAGTACTAGGACTTGTGATGTATCATTTTCTTAGGAAGTATTCCTGTTGATAGTGATATGGATCATTTTCTTAAATACTAAAATGAAAAACTTTTTAAATGCAAAATGATGATGCTAGAATGGAACCAACTTTTATGACATATTTGCAAATTGTTGCTGCAAAGAGTGCCTATGGTTTGTTTACTAATGTACTAAAATCACGTGCAGTGTTAATTTTCTTGAGTGGCATTACATTACCTCTTTTTTTTGGGTGGGGTGTTTCGTTGTTGTTGGTGGCATAAGCAATTTATCTGTAGTTGTATACAATATGAATGGTTTGGTTAATATAAGAAAAAAAGATCTTGCTTGCAAGAAGCTTCGTTCTCATATCCTTGATCATTTTAGGGACAAATGAACCATTGTTAGCTGCTTCATTCTCATATCCTTGATCATTGTTTCAAACATTATTAGCTGTTTACTGAAGTCAAGGGAATGAATAAATGTTCTCTTCTTTTGCATCCAAGATTGCATGTGCATGTGTGCAAAGGTATGCGTGAGTTTATGTAGTGTTTTCTGTTTTTTGACCCTAGATATGCCTTGGATATAAACTTAAATCTGTAACATTATGGTCTCCATAATATTGATTTTTTCTTTTAGATGATTTATAATGTGGAATATTCATCAATAAAGAGTCCAGTGACTGCAAATCTACATCACTAGCTCATAATAGCAGAAACTTAGCCTTTAAACTTGGATTTATTGCCTGTACTTTCCATTAGATGGAAAGAGTGTCTATCCAATATAATTACTGCTGTTCAATACGAGTTTATTTGTTACAATGGACTAACCTTAACTTTCATTATTGTGGAATTAGAGCTGGGAACTTGCAATGACCTAGTTCTTATTTTAATAGTATCTTTTACCTATTGCAGCTGGTCAGGAGAGATTTGGAACATTAACTAGCTCTTACTATAGGGGTGCACATGGGATTATTCTTGGTATGTCCTTGCAACTATGAAATATTTAGTCCTCAATATTTGTTTGTAATTTGTATTTTGCTGAATTTGGATTTTCCTCCTAAGAGCTTGTACTTTGGTATGATAAATTATTTTTTTCAAACAAGTACTGGACATCTATATTCTTGCTGACTCTTGATGGAATATGCAAATGGATGACACTTCACATCAGCTATTCTTAATCTTTACATGCATGTTCTTCCCTTCATTGGTTACTTCATAGTTTGTACACTAGCAAACTCCAAGATCCTTGATCCATTGCATATATGTTATTTTACTATTACCATTATGTATGCTGGTGATCTTTTGTTATGCAACTATTTGGGTTAAACTCAAAGTGTCAGTATTGCTTTTTGGATTTCTCATCTATTTAAGCTTTAAACTTGGGTATCAATATTTGATTAATAAACATTAATCTAAAAGAAGATTTTGGTTTTCATGTGGAGTAGTCATTCTTGTTCCTTGGTGTTAGAAAATAGGGATCCCACTTTACCATACAAAATCTTTTGAATATATAAATATTTCGTAACTAGTCTGATGAAATGTTTCTATGTTCATTTATATTTTTCTTAAAAAATTTTAAAGTATGAAAGATCTAAACATCTAATTAATACATGTTGAAGCTGGTCTGATGATTAAGTTTATAACCTTGTCATTATTTTCTGCAGAAATCTCCTCATTTTTAAGATAATTGTGCTTTGTTATCTATGATGCAAAATACAACCAGCAGTATTGAGGAGAAAGAGCTCATTCTTTATGTTTGTAGTAAAAAAAGTGGCTAAACAACATTATTTTGGCATTCTGGGGTCATTTCCTCTTTAAAAAGTACCATCTCTTGTTTTCTTACTAGCAATGTACATGTTCTTCTTTGGTTGCATATATTTGAGTATTACTATATACTTTAATCATCATATGTTAAGAATAGTTCAATACTTTCCTGTCTTAAGATGTATTGCTAATGTTTTTGGACACTATTATGATGTTATTGCTGCTAACATAGCTAAATTTTGGGGAACTTGAACTTAATTTCTTTGATATTTAAAGTATATGATGTGACACGGCGAGAAACCTTCACCAACTTGTCTGAAATATGGGCAAAGGAAGTTGAGCTGTATTCCACCGATCATGAGTGCATCAAAATTCTGGTTGGAAATAAAGTTGACAGGGTAAGTCCGATAAAGTTATTGTTGTCTCTTCTCTCCCAAAGACTACATGTCATTGAATTTATATTCAATGCCTGTGATGAATATGCAGTGCTCTGGTTTATTCTTTTACTAGAGAAAAGATGTTTAATCAATCATCTTGATGCTTAAAATAGACTGAATTTTGTGTGCTTTGTGAGGTATCTTTTCTTATAAATCAGCAATGTGCCATTTTCAGGACATTGAAAGGGCTGTTACTAGAGAAGAGGGTATGGCTCTTGCACAGGAACATAAATGTTCTTTTCTTGAGTGCAGTGCCAAAACCAGAGAAAATGTGCATCAATGCTTTAAGGATCTCATTTTAAAGGTAAACTTCTAAGAAATACTGGCATCTCTCAACTATTTAAATCTCATAACATATCCTAATGTTTCATTAGGTGCAATTAAACTGCAGTTAGCTCTAATTATTTGACAAAACAGTTGTATACAACGATCTTTGTGAGTACAAACTCCGGTCCATGTTGGAAGCTTGATTTCTTTTCAGTTTGTGACCTATACCAACGCATTTTATTTGTTTACAGATTCTTGAGGTACCTGCTTTATCGGAGAAAGGATCGGCAGTGGTCAAGAAACAAATTTTGCAACAGAAACAAGCAAACAAAGCACCCCAAAGCAATGGTTGCTGCTTTCAATGAAAATTCTGTGACACTTGAGGTATAATAATACACTATACGACTAGACTACATATGGAAGCTCCACAACAGGTGGTGATAGGGGAAAAAAGACGGGCCAATCATCCCGGACTGCCGGTTATATTTGCTAGATGGTAAGTCTTGGTGGAGCCACGGTCATTGTTTCCCCTGTAATTTTCGAAATATAGGGAGATGTTGTATTATCTTAGGCTAATGTAATGTTTTTCTTCTTATACTTGTTTCCTTTTGTTGTAAATATAGTGTAAACACATCATTAGGTCTGAAGAATTGTTTGTGGTTTGGTGGAGATGTGAATATGGATTGAATAAGACCAAAAGGAAAGGTCCCTTAAGCAATTCATGTCAATTGCAATTATTAGGAATGTGAGTAAATATATATTATATTGTGTTCGGGAGGACGGATTCCATAACAACAGACTGTTAGATTTCTACATCATTTGCTTGGTAATCGGAGTGTTTATTTGGTCGGTTTAATTACTTTTAAATAGAATTAATTTAAAATTATTTAAAACGAATCAATTGAATTATATTATTTGATTTTTGTTAATCAAACGAATTTATAAATAATTTTAAAAGTTAATTGATTAAATTTAATTCGGTTAGTTTGATTAATGTTTTTAGTTAATCAAATAAAAAATATATTTAAATTAAATTATATTTTAAATTTTAAAATTTAAAATTTTCATATTTTAAATAAAGTAAAATTATTTAATAAAATGTTCAAACACTAAAACATTATGTTAAAAGTTTTAATAAGTTATGAAATTAAGCAATCTATTATATATATTTTTTGTTTTATATTTGAATTATATTATATTTTGATTAATTTGGTTTTTGAATGGATTTAATTGAAATTCAAAATTTTTTAAAAATTATTTTTATTAATCGATTGAAATTAATTTAATAATTGATTGATTAATTAAATTAAATCAATTAAAATTGAATTATGAAAACTTCTAATTGGTGAGAGGAAAAGTAAGAGGGAAAGAAGGAATAAGTGGAAAATGAATTAGCAGTCCAAAAGTGAGGGGAGGTCCATTTGTTATGATGATGTGATTTATGTGGATCAGTTCTTTCTAATGAAATTTAGATTTGTTTTTCCTAAATTCATTAAATTGGCCTATTAGCTCAGTTGGTTAGAGCGTCGTGCTAATAACGCGAAGGTCGCAGGTTCGAAACCTGCATGGGCCATTGTAAATTATTTTTGTTAGCATTAAAAAAGAACGATGCCGTTTTTCTTCATTTCAGAACCTCTTTTATACACAGAATCACGCAAAGTGAACTTTAAAAAGAACGATGCCGTTTTTCTTCATTTCAGAACTCCTTTTATACCCAGAATCACGCAAAGTTGGCTGCACGTAAGTCTTATTCACATTTAATTTTGAAATTCCAAATTTTTATTTACTTTTCATCTTGTTTTATTATTTATTTTTTTGAATATAAAGCATGAAAAGCTTTCTAGTAACAAAAAATTCAAAATAAACATTTTATGTTAATCATTATATTTTATTCTATCTCTTAATTAAGCGTTATAAAATAACAATTTTTTTTTTAAATATACAAAATAATAATTCTAAATAGAAGTGTGAGTATAAGGTAATCTGGTAAATAATGGAACTTTGTTGTGCTTATGTATATCTATATACCAAAGTTAATGACTTGTTATATATATATATATAATGTATATATAAAATAAAATCCTAATTCTTTAAATTTAAAGATCATATTCAAATTTAGCCAACTAATAAATCCCATGTGGAAAACATAAAAAAACAAAGAGACCCAAAAAAAAAAAAAACTCATGACATACTAAGAAAGACAAACTTCTAATTTCTGGTAGGAATGAAAGTTGCATTTTCTTTTAACCCAAACTGATTGTATGCTTGAAAAATTATAGATGAAGTCACATCGGCCTCCTGCCAGCTGATTTCTCCCAAATTAATTCTGGTAACTCATATGTTTTATTTGATAAACGCTCTGACTTGATGCTTTTTTGTTAAATGTTTTTTTTTTTTTTTGTGCATTAAAAATTATAACATGAATTATTCTCTAACCTCAAACTTGCATGTTTTATTTAGGAATAAGAATTGACTCAACTCCCAAATCAGCACATCCACTTAACTTGGCACACTTAATAGCAACCTCACAAATTATTGCATCCCTCTCCCTCTCTCTCTCATCTTTTTGTGTGTGTGTGTGTCTGTGTGAGGTAGACAGACACCAAACTCTTGGTTAAGAACAGCTAATGATGCTTAAAAAAAGCCATAATAAAAGGCCGACAAGGCTATTTTTCTTCGTCAATTAAACCTTAATTGGATATTATCGCCAACTTTGTGCTGGCATTCAGGCTTATGCCACTAGTTTTATTAGCTTTAGCCCTTGTTTATCAAAGATCTAATTTTATAAAGCACTTCCAAAACTACCGAATCAATACTTTAAAGTCTCCAAAGTTGACATCCAACGGTTAGAATTTAAGACTTTATTTCGAAGATTTCGGTTTCAACTTCTAATATGAATTAGATGAGAAAGAGAGAGGGTTATCTGGTGATGTAACTCAAATTTTTATACAATGAAACAAATTAAAACCAATACTTACTAAAAAAAAGACCATTGACTTGATGTACTCCATATTTCATGATACAATGCCTTGTGGCCTATTGCAATTAAAATAAGCCATTATTTAAGTGCTTACTTTCAATGAGAGTAAGTTTAAGAAAGGATATTTGCTGTTATGAATGGCTAGAGGAAAAGATATACTAAGTTAGAAAATTTGATTGAAAGAAAATATCTACTATATAACTGACTTTTCCTTAATAAATTTTGAATCTAAACCACTAGATTAATTAAGATCAATGTGCAGATGGTAACTGAAAATTATAGTGAATGCCAAAAAGATTGAATCCATAGTTAATTAGTCAGAATATCCAAAATGGAGAGGTGCATTGTAAGATTTATGGGTCAAGAAGCAGTGAATGACTTTCCCAAGGGGTGATTAGTTGTCTTTGAGTATACCAGCAACTAAAAAAAGAGGGAAGAAGCACAGAAAAGAACAAAAATAGTTAAGTAGAAAAATCTTTTAGAAGCATATGTTATTGTTGTTTAAAGAGAAAAAGGACAAGAGGTGGATTCATATAAGAAGTGCAGTTCCTTACTGGCATTTTCTACATTTTTATTCTATTTTTGTCACCACCAACATGAGAGAGAAAGCCACATTCTTGTAAATGAAAATAACGAAACCTAAGCCACAGGCTTTTAATTTGGTTGTGGTGGTCACAAATCCAAGCCTAAACTCTCTTTCTCAAGTGTTTAACACATTCCCTACCACTGAAAAAGAACAAAAACCAAATTGAGAAAGAGAAGAAAAAGATACCCATCATGCAGCTTTACGTGAACAATTTAGATACCTTTTGATAAGACATTATTCATTGCTTTATCAAAGAATTGAAGTTCATGTGATTAACACTTGATCAATATGAGGAAAAAATGAATCAAAAGAATCTTATAAATGTTGAATAAATAAGAGAAAAAAAAAACCCAATTCAGCTTGGATCAATTGTATAATATAAATGTCGGTATAAGTAAAAAGGAAAATTGAACCTTGTTTAGTAATGACAATCCACCAAAGTGGGGGCGGAGAAGACAAGAGGTGATTGTTGTTGTTGTTGTTGCTGCTGCTGCTGCTGTTGCGTGGGAGCAAAGGAGAATTTAGATTCCCGGTGATCATCTTCCGGGGCAGGAAGATTGAGATCCAAGTCTAAAGACAAAACATTTCTTGGTTTCTTAGGTTCCATGGATTCCATTGCCATCGGTACTGTCAATGACAAGGCTGTGCTAGCAGTAGTAGTACTATTGCTACCTATTGGCCCTCTATGCCTTCTCATATGCCCTCCTAAGGCTTGTCCAGAGGTAAACTCCGCCCCACAAATGGAACATTCATGAACCTTAGCCTTGTTGTTATTGCTATACAAACCTCTATTGGTATTATTATTATTACTCAATTGAAGAGAAAGAGAAGAAAGGTTATTAGTCTTGATGAATTGTCCTTCTTCTTCATCCGATGCTGCTGCTGCTGTGAATCGCCTTATTTTCTCATCAACCATGGCCGCTGCGGACGCTGCCTTAAGCTTCTTATGACTAGCTCTATGACCACCAAGGGCTTGGAATGAAGGGAACGTTCTGTTACAAGTTTTGCACTCGTAGACATAGTATCCGGCCTTGCCTGTCCCGTTTGAAGCTGCTTCCATGAACTTTCTACTGGTGAATTTGTTGTAAATTCCCGTATCGTGATGGTGATCATCAGATTGTGATTTCGTGGATTCTCTTGATTGGCCTTGCGCGAGGAGGATCAAGCAATTAGCCATGTCTTCTTCTTCCTCGGTGCTATCTTGGTATTCAGAAGAAGATGAAGAAGAAGGCAACAAATATTGAGTATAAATATTCTTGTTCTCTACATTTGGAGAACCTTCAAATTCACCTCCTTCTCCATTGCATATCAAATTATTGGAAGTTATGGCAAAAGGGATTGGTGATTGAGGCCTCAAACGCTTGGTTCGCTTCCCTTTAACGATATTGCTATGATCTTTAGACCCCATTGCGACTTCCTCCGGTGCTTCCATGGTCCCCCAACACCACACAAAAATAGAAAGAGTTTGAGAGAAAAAGAGGGTTAGGGGGATAGGGAGGGAGCAAAGGAGAGGAAATTGGCTTAATATATAGTGAATGAGATGATAAAAAAGAAAATAGAGAGAGAGAGAGAGAGAGATCAGAGGGAGAAAAGGAAGGAGGTTTTGGCCTTTGGGGTCAGTTTTTAAGTCAAAAGGGAGACCCAATGGAACAGTAAGAGTAAATTATATAGTAAAGCCAAGATTTTCTTGAGCTTACAAGGGTTTGAATAGTTAATGGAAGTATAATTTTATATTTATAGGCTTAGTTGGAAAAAGATGGATGGGAGTGAAAGAGAGAGGAAATGGAGACACAAACAAAGAAGAGAAAAAGGCCAAAAACAAAGCAAATGTAACTGAAAAGAGGCAAAATTAGATGGGATGGAGAGTAAAACAGTTGGGAAGGTTGTTAACGTAATGTCCGCTTCACACTCTCTTTCTCACACTTTGCCAACGCACTTCACCATATGGAAATCAACGATTACAAAATTAATACAACAACAATTCCCCCATCCAATGCTTGGTTGCACGATATAAGCATGCTTCCATCACCCCTTTACTCCATGTCCTTGGACTAAATTTGATTATACCAATCACACCCACTCAATTGGTTTTCTCTCAATGTCTCATCAAATCCCAGTTATAATGATATAAGATAAATTGTTTTCCACCTTTTTCATAATTTCATGTAGATTAATATTTTTAAAAATTTTATAATTTTATGATTTCATTAAAAGTAATAATCAAAATGAAATTTATTTGACTTAAAAAAAATCAATAAGATATGACGAAAATACTATAAGCTATGGACTGATTAGGTAACTAATTTTTTGAGAAAGGCGCGGGGAAGGAAGGATCGAAAAGCAGGATGACTGTGGCTCGCACACGTCTTTTGCAAGAAAAGATAGTGCAAAAACAAATGTGGTATATATGTGCATAGAGATGGAGACGGGATGATGTGAGAAAGCAAGCAAACGCATTACTTTGCCTCAACGATTCTGTCTATAATGAGATGATTGGAGTGCAAGCCTGAAGCCCACGGAATCCTCGGTGCTATCTACCCCCTTTTGCTTCCTTTCTTTTCTTCTTTTTATTTATCTCTTTCTTTTCTTGTCATGCTTCATGCTTGCAAGAACTCTTTCTATTATATTCATAGAATTCTCTCTCTCTCTCTCTTTTACGATATTGGTTGAATAAGTTAAAACTGATGACAAGAACTAATCAGTTTTTTTTCAAGAAAGATCTAAGCTTAAAAATTAAAAAAAAATTGTAAATATTAAAATTTAAATTTTACATTGGTAAATATTAATTTTGAGTTCAATCAATTTTTTATTTTGAGTTATATAATCGATATCAAATAATAAAAAAATTATGTAAAAATCACATATCCTAACTTTTATTTTTTATTAAGAAATATTAAGTGACATAATCAAATCGGGTAGAGTATGGTCTGAATAACTCTCATGATAATAATTTTGCTTTTGCGTTGACACAAAATAACTCCCTTGCCATCGTACCTATAGACACAATTTTGCCCCTAATTTTTTTGAGACGGTATAGCGTCATCCTTGCCAAATATTGCACGTATCCCTCCTTCCTCCCGTAAAGGGTTCATTGAAATAATAATAATAATAATAATAATAATAATAGAGTGAGTGAAGTTCCTAATTAATTAGTCCTCAAAAATCAGTATTCCATCGATGGATTGGAAGTAATTAATACGTACTTTAACCTTGAAACGTTCTTTAATTTATATATTAAATATATAAAAAAATCAATGTCTAATTGCTCATAGAAATTTCTATCAGTTCAATTAAACAATGAAACCTCAAAAATCTTTGTATTAGTTCAATTAACTAGCTAATAGACTAGATTATAGAATTTAGTGGTCTGCTGTTAAAGCTATTGGTTCAAAGAAACTGGTTGTAAGTAAAAAAAATCAAGCTTCTTGCGTTTGATACCAAGCATGGGTGAACGAAAGACTTTTTCTTTCTTCTCCTTTACTTAAAAGTTCAATAAATTTTTGCAGAGCTAATATCTTAGATATTAAAAAATTTGAGGGTTTAAGTATCATTGTGAGGGTTACATATGGGTCCATTATTAGCACATAATCGTTTCTAATCAATCAGTTCATGTGCTATTGACCCACTTATTTTTTTAATCCCATTAAATAAATCTGTAGTTTATCCTTTTTTTATTGTTTTTATTTAATTTTCAATATAAAACCAATTTAGCTAATTAGCTTTTATTTTAATCATTAAAATAGAAGCTACTTGATGATAATATCATTTGTGGTGAAGCCAATCATTGGGGTTCACTTAAATGGGATAAAACTTGGATTTGCCATTTGGTGAGGATGCTGCTGCCTAAAGTTGAATGTCTAAAGTCGTGTTTTTTTTTTTTTAATGTTCTGAATCAACAAATTAATGTTTAAAAGTACTAAATCAATAAACTATTGTTACACCAAGTTCGAGATAAATGGTTGGGACTAAACTGTAGAAAACATTTTCAAAATTTTTTGTTGGTATTTCTCAACTCAATTACCGTCGAATAATTCAATCATATAGTTATTAATTGGTATTTAAAACTGTGATTTAAGTTCTAGGTTATGCAAAGGAGCCGGATCCATCAAGAAAAGGGATGATGGATGGATAAAGGAGGGCCAGTTCTTGGGCATGAAGAAAGTCATTATTGGTGAAGAATTGTGTGTGGCACGTATAGGTTGAAAGTAACTGAACCCAAATCAAAGAATATTAGGAAAGATTTGGAAGCAAAGGATATATCCCATGTTATGTATCATGGGCTCCTCTCCTCTATTCCAAAACCTTCTATGCCAATCTTTATTTATTTATATACATATAAATTGAAGTAAAGACAACAAATCAACAAGTTAGAAATTGGGATCACATCAGATTTAAATGGTTTTTAGTTGGATTGTCTTAAGTTGAAGTAAGGTTCAAATTCAGATTAAAATAAAATTAATAGGTAAATTTTTAATTATAAAAATTTGATAGTTTTAATTTTTAATATAAGTTCGAGTTATTACAAGTTTATATTGAATTTAGGATATTCAAATTATTTAATTTTTGAATTTTTTTCAAATCCAAATTATTTTGAATTTAATTATTTTATATTAAAATTTTTTTATTTGAATATTTGCTTTTTTAATCAATTAGGATTTAATTGGATTAGAGTTTGAATTTTTTGAACGAATTTCAAATTCAATTTTTTTTAAGACTTATAATTTTAGGTTACCTAAAGAGAGGTTCACAAATCTCACTCCTCTCTTTGCAAAATTCAAATATGAGTCCCCTAAATTGAAACATTTAGGTTCTTAACTGCTAGGTTATTCCCTTGGGGACCAAGGTCACCCTCTAAGCATAAAATTACTTAAATTTATTTTTCTAATACCTTATATATTAAAAGTGTGAGAAGCGAAAGAACAAGCTTGGAAGAAAATTAATGCTTGAAAGCAATACCGAGCAAGTTTCCCAGTGAAATAATGCAGCCAACCATTTCAATATTTTATTCACAAATCATCCACAAGGAAGAGAGAGAGAAAGAGAAAGGGATGAGATTCAGTAGCTTCTGAGCCACTCAATGCAACATGTTAGTTCCAAGTTAGCCGCTTCAATGTGTTGAATAAATTAATTAACCTTAAATATATAATAAGAAACGAAAAAATACTAAGAAGAATGTATGAGGAATCCATCAATTTTAAGTCAACCATTACAATTTGCCATCTAGCCTGGAAGAACAAAAAAGGATGAAGAAAAGTGTAAAACATTATATGAAATTAATGTAAATTTTGATCAAGCTGGTGCAATTAAAGGAAGAGGGAGAATCGAAATTGACTCTTTTAGCAGGAGAATGCATGCATTTATAATCCGATTTTTGAGAGTTTATAACATTTAATTAGTATATTTTGAAAAGAAAAAAAAAAAATCTTTGGTAACAAGGATCCACCAGTCCAGTATGTACAGGCTATGTCTAGATAATGCAAGCTTGCTTCTTACTTGAGCCAAACTCGTTACAGATAAAGTCGTATATATATTTATTTTCTGAAAAATAACTGTGAGTCAAAGAAGATCAAATTAAATTTAAAATATCCCATTTTCCACTCTTTGATGATGAACTGGGGATGAAGCTTGATTTGCTCTTAGCTTATGACGTTTACATCCCAGCCTCTCCTTGGATATAATTCTTTGATACCATTAAATTAATTCATTTTCACCAGGAAAAAGACCTCTCAATATGTTTTCAAGCTTCACATCTATGTATGTCTTGTTTTGCAGCTGGAGTTTAAAATTCTTGCTAAATTTGATTGAGGCTTCTATTCTTATGTTTAATGCGATTATTATACTTGCGCAACCTGATCTTGTTTCTTTTCGTATACATCAAATCCAGACAAAAAAAAAAGTTCAATACTTCAAATTAAGACAAATTATGCCTTATCTCTAAGAATGTGTTAGGACCTAATGAGGTGGGTAATTAGTAAAATTCAAACCTCATACCACTTATTACAAGATGAGTGAATTTAATATTCCACAAATTCTTGTGACTGATATTTTTTTTCTATAAAAAAAAATCGTAGTATGAAGATGAAAGTAATTGTATGTGTTAAAATTTAAATATCAAATTTATTAAATATCATCTTTTAAAATGAATACATAAATTAACACTTGGATTAAATCTTGGATTATTGTGATAACATTTTTTGCAAGAGCGATATGATTATTTTTGTAGAGTGATAATAATTGAGTTTTTAATTTAAGAAAAGGAATTAAATAGGTTAAGCTGGAGTGAAGTTGAAGTCTAAATTCAGCTCTTTCTCTATGACAATATAATTTGCTTGTTTATTTATTTCGAATTTATTATAGGTACCAATTGAAAGCTATTTTTCTTTGCACTAACACAACTTGGCTGATCTGAGATGTAATCCAAGAAATATTAAACAATTTATACCAAAATGAAAATAAAACAAATATAGCAATAGTAAGTACATTATAGATTTATTGGGTTTT